ATGAGGTGAATTTGGATTATTATTGAATTATTTTCAGGCCTGATAAAGTTAGGTTGTCATGGCAACGTCAAGCAAGCTAAAACACAGCATCACTCTTTGTTGGTAAAGATTAATTTATTTAAAATCTAGATTAATCTCGCTGTCATTTTTAAATAAATCTAGATTAATGTAGATTAAAATTTGAATTCTATTGAAGGATTGTGTGTTTGCCCTGCCTAAACAATGTCTAAAGGTATGTCTCTGAGCACGTTTTCTCAAGGGAAATTTGAAAAAATACTTAATATATATATAATATTATATAAATATAATATTTTATATAATACTTTACAATAAATAATTTATACATTTCTTATCAATATTTTGGGAAATGAGTTAGACCTTTTTTATTTGACTATGACGTGAATTTGGATTTTTATTTAATTATTTTGAGGCATAATCAACAGAAGGTCATGGAAGTTAGGTTGTCATGGCAACGTCAAGCAAGCTAAGGGTCTCCAAGAGGCAAAAACAAAACAAAAAACAAAAAAATAAACAAACTTTTCAGTCTGAATCACAAATGCTAATTAATAGTGATATGTTAGCATGAACTATGCTAATTAGTAGTGATATGTTAGCATGAACCATGCTAACTAGTAGTGATATATTCTTTATCTGTTTATTCTGTCTATTCCGTGTATCTATTTATTTAGACTTGCTTTGTTAGAGCTGGTTTCAGTCACGTGACTCTGAAGGAAAACGCGGAGACTAGCGCTTTATGTCCTTCTCTGCCATTACAGTTTTTCAAAATGGCGGATCGCCATGGAAACCTCTATTAACTTACCCGTCCTGTGTATATACAGATAGGAAATTCTTCCTTATGAGAAGTCAGATCATTTCAGAGGTCATTTTACACCAAATGAGGACACATTTAGAAATTAAGAAGATAATTTTAGCTAATAAAACACTTTTAAATGCTACACAATGTGCCTTAACTGAAATGAAAGCGTTCTGATTGGCGGCAGCGTGGAGATCATCCGTCTGGGGAACAGCTTCTACATCGACTGGGACAGGAAGATGTACTTTTCCCGCAGCGACACACCGGCGGAGGCGCGCACCACCACCCTGAACGAAGAACTGGGCCAGATCAAATACGTGTTCAGCGACAAGACGGGAACGCTCACGCAGAACATCATGGTCTTCAACAAGTGCTCCATCAACGGGAAATCCTACGGTCAGACTCCCAAAGCTCTCAGCTTCAGACCTAAAAGACTCAGATTTAGACTAGGACTCAGCTTTGTTTATCTCTTGGGATTTACTCCTTCAGGGAAATTCTGGTTCCAGTAGCTTATGTATTGGATTAATATACTCTTCATTTCATTCATATATTCTTCAATACTCTTATAATAACCTTATATATTCAATACTCTTATATTACTCTAATTATACTATTATATATTCAACAGTCTTATATTACTTTTATAACACTCTTATAATACTCTTATATATTCAATACTGTTATATTATTCTTATAATACTCATATAATAGTCTTATATATTCAATACTCTTATATTACTCTTATAATACTCTTATATATTCAATACTCTTATTTTACACTTATAATACTCTTATAATACTCTTATTTATTCAATACTCTTATTTTACTCTTATAATACTATTATATATTCAATACTCTTATAATACTCTT